TTTATATTGACAAACTGCACTCTCAGATATCGAATGTCATATGTTTACCTAACATTAAGTTAGTTATTAGCGGAGAAAATCAAGGTTGAAGTGTCAATTTTAAACTCCGCGCCGAAATCTCCGTGCTTCACATCAAAATTTCAAAACTCATTTCTTATTTTCGTGACTTTGGCTCGAAATAATTTTCTGAAAACTTGCGTGCTGGGTCTCTCGCACCCACAGATTAAAACGTACTTCATTTTTATTGATTGGAAGTCACGTAGGACTCAGTAGATGCCTTCAAAAATATGACGTGTTTGATGCGGAAACCTCAAGGGGGCGTCTCCGCTCGTATTTTCCTTTCGCACGTTTTTTTTCGCTGAGATTGATGCCTTCGGGATTGTGAATTGTGCTTTACTAATACGCGAAAAAACTTTTGCTTTTTAGTGTCCCTTTAACTATCTGGAATTCGTAACAGTGCACTTAGATGAAGCTTCATCTGCGCGTAGGTGCCCCTTCAGCGAACCAGGGCACCTGATGAAGATTAATGAAAACGTTCCTTCAAGGGCAGTGCCTGCAGCGTTAAAACGTCCTCCTTTTTTCCAAATCGCGCGGAGGTGCAAACGCAGACTTTTCCGTCTGGCGTTTTTTTTTTTTTTTGTTTCTTTTTCTTGTCGGTGGCCTTGCTTGCTTGCTTGTCCCTTGGAACTAGCTCCTACACACTATGGGGGATTGGCCAAGAAGCCGGTGGATAATGTAAATATAAGCATTAAAACAAAAGCAAGGAAGAGTGTCTTTCTGTAAAGAAAATAGAATTTTGTAATTTTGCTGACGTTGTAAACTTTATTAATTGATTGATATGAATTAAAATACTAATTTCTTGAACGTGGCTGATTTTTCTTCTTTGGGCATATATTGCTCATAAATGGTTAATTTAATGGTCTCGATTTTGGTCGTATGCCAATAGCGAAGTTGCTTTTCTTTTTCTGTCTTCCAAGTCGTGCATTCGAATTCATATGCCAACAACCGTGTGTAGTTCGACGCAGGTAAGAGAGGAAGAAGCGGGTAGCGGCGGCTATGGTTAAGGTGAGAATCTCCGCAGTCTTCTTTTTTGTGCATTTCATTTTTATAAGCGTCATCCCACGGGGGTTTGGGCATGATTAGTATACATAAAAGGGCTTTACATCTGATGGCTCGGTTGCATGCTTCACATCTTTTCGAGTTGCAATGCTGGAGCAGTCGGGATAGAATGCACCGTTGAAGCAGTCAGCAAATGTTCTAACGTCGATCGAACGAGCCGATGCTACAATATCGAATCATGAGGGCATTATCTAAATGCAAAAAGGAAATCTGCTAGACATTTCGTACAGCACTACGACTGCCGTATAGTTGGAACACTGCCCTTCGATCAGGTGACCTTCATTAAGAATGCAAGAATGACAACCGAGGGGAATAATTGGGGCTGCTTACATAATAAAATTCGGTCTTAATGGTGTGAGGGTTCTGTAATGGTTGGGGTATCACGTCCCAAAAGCACCACTATATGTTGACTAGAGACGTCGTATAGTGGACGGGCTCTGGAAAATTTGGCCACCTTGGGTCCTTTAACGCTCACATATACATCCAAGTACAAGGACCTGTAGCATTTTTGCGTCCATCGAAAATGCGGCCTCCACGGCCGAGATTCGATCACGTGACCGAGGAGTCGGCACTCGAGCGCTACGGGACCACCGTGGCGGGTGGTGTGAGGGTTCTACCTTTGTTCATCACTTATAAGGAAATCACGTTTCTGTTTGGTAACCTGTGGTTTATCGCATGTGTTTGATAATGAGTGCGCATGTTGGGATTGGGCTTTACAAAAACATCACAGTTTGTACTCAGCGCCAGCACATATCGCTAATGTGTCTCCTTTTTGCATTTGTTAATAGTATTTGGGAGTTTTTGACCCAGAGAAGTAGCGTCAAGGCCACTGCGCATGCGCGAGACCCCAACAGAATTTGGGTTCTGTCGTTGGGGACGCTATTTCTCGAACGTAGCGGGAGCCCCAAATTTTGCCCCAAAAGCTTTGCGTCAGGCAAACGTGACGGCACCCCCTGAAGTGACGGCTGACCGGGCTGACCTAGAATAGGGAGGTGTCCAAAGTACTCATGGACCCTATAAACTCTTATCTCCTGCTTGACGCAAGGCGAGTACACGCAATGGGGCTTTGGGGGCCCCAAACTTATGGGGCCCCTATTAGAAAACTCCCTAATATCTGGGGTTTTTTCGTGCCGACTGGTTGTGCCCCCGCGATCTCCGACGACAGTGCACCTTTGGCCGACTGGGCTCCCCCTAAGCCATCTCCTGACGCGGACAAGAGCTCTCGCCGAGTAGTGCCCCGTCCTCAGACTTCTGCGACCGTGTCCATCTTACCTATCTCCTCTTTACTTCCGTCGCTCGCTGTCTCTGCGCCTCGCTCTCTCCTTCCTCTCTCTATATGTACCTTTTAATCCTATCTTTTTAATCCCTCCTTACCCCCACCCCTTGTGAGCTACTGTTGAGGTGTCGCGCTCTGATGCAGACAGTTGCGGGGCTCACTTTTCTCTTGTCTTCCTTTTAAGAATCACATAAGAAACCTGGGGTTTTACGTTCCGAAACCACGATATGGCTGAGGAACGCCGTAGTGAGAAGCTCCGGAAATTTAGACAATCTAGTGTTCTTTGACGTACACTGACATCACAAACTACAGTACACCGGCCTCTAATCATTTCGCCGCCATCGATATGCGACCATCGCGGCCGTGATCGAACTCGATACTTTCGATTCAGCACCTGAGCACCTGGCACCTAAAGTTCGCTGCACCACCGCGGCGGACTTTAGTCTTCGTTGCTTCCCGCTGTGCATGTTTAGTGTATAATAAGACCATCTATAACGTGAGCTGATTCTTCGAGAGACAGTAAAAGCCTAGCCTTTTTTTTTCGACGGAGATTGGGACGCTTTCGTTTGCATTAAACCAAGAATGGAGAACAGGAATTGTGTTGTGCGGACAAGAAATCCACTTACGTCAGTTCGTATACTTCAGTATTCGATACCCTGCATAATCTCGACACTTCATTACGTGTCGAAAAAAGTAATGTGTCTAGTTCGAGCCGGTCGACGGGTAAGACCACCGCGCAACAGGGTGGGCGTACCGACGCGGTTGCTGGAGGAGGGAACGACGCGAACGTTGAATCGAAGGCAAGCACAAAACTTAGATGCGCAATGTGATGTGTAGAGCGCCATCTGTCTATTATACCGTGCACGGTAGAGATAACCGCTGAGATATTTAATTTCTTCTCTCGGCAGGATTAGTCGACGACTGGTTTACGCGTACGCTTCTATCACCATCGATATAGGTAACCCTCTACTGTAGGACCATGCATAAGACTTTTTAAGCTCCACCGGTCTCTGGTTAGCAAATTTGCCCTTATCTTACATCTTTACAAGTTCTACAGTATATGAACCACATCAGTACAGCAGTCTGTAAATTTATTGACGTGTTTTACAACACGCAGGTCCTTCCTGTTTTTGTTCTTAAAATGTTCTCGCTTTTCTTCAGCACGGCGCATATCTTGCCTATAGCTTAATGGCGGTCGTAAAAAGAATGGGTTGAAACAGCGGCTATGGAGATAGCGGCCCGATTCGAAGTACCAGGATACGGCGAGAGTGTTTTCCAAGAAAAGTTACGTGTAGCCTGTCGGTCGTATTATTGATTCTGCGCTGGCCGAATACAAACATGCGTACGCTTGACCGTGCAGCATCACCATGCGGTGTCTAACAATTTTTGTATGCTCCGCCGCGGTGGTCTAGTGGCTAAGGTACTCGGCTGCTGACCCGCAGGTCGCGGGATTGAATCCCGGCTGCGGCAGCTGCATTTCCGATGGAAGCGTAAATGTTGTAGCCCCGTGTGCTCAGATTTGGGTGCACGTTAAAGAACCCCAGGTGGTCAAAATTTCCGGAGCCCTCCACTACGGCGTCTCTCATGATCATATGGTGGTTTTGGGACGTTAAACCCCACATGTCAATCAACACGTTTTGTACATTCAGGGAGCTGCATATTACAGGAGAGAGCAGCACAGCATCTGTGTGGCCTCTATTTTATTTATCTTTGATATTTGTTAAATAAACAAGTATTTGAATGAATTATCGTCAGCTGAAATGCAAACCAAGTTGGCTTATAAAAACTGCTGCTAGGAGAATGGAAGTTTTGAAAAAAAGCTTTAAAAAGTAGAATTGCTTCAAATATGATTTGCAGGCATTTGTAGAAACGCAAGAGTTTGGTACGTGCTAGCGGGTTTTGCAATTCGATTGCTGAGTGGGAAAACGAGAAACCATGCAGGACATGGCAAGCACCGTCAATATGCATATCGCTCCTAATTGTGGAAGTTACGTATGTATCGTCCGCTTCATTGATCGCGTGTCGGACAGTGGCCAATTGGCATTTAAGAACGAGCACGCAAAGAACCGAGGTGTTCCGTGATGTGAAGGTCTTTCCATATATAGTGTCTGTGCAAGAACTGGTCCGCCTACATCGGCTTTTACTGAACCGGTCGGTGTTGTTTGAAGCCATTTAGCTCCTCAGCCTACATTTGCCGCAAATCGCCATGGAACAACTTTGCAAATCTCGGATGTCGGAGTTCTGAAAACATTGCGACCTCAATCGTGTTCGTCGACGAAGCGACCGGCCTCCTTGACAGCGTGTTTATGTACGCTTCATAGTTAAGCGTACACTAACACACTGTATACTACGGAAGGCAACTGCTGCAAACGCAGGTTCGCAGCGACTTTCCTCATTAGGGAGTTCTTTTCTCACCTCTTCCTGCCTTCTTTTTCTCCTAAAATTCGGTGTTGTTTGATGTAGCATGTTGCAAAATGTTCGCGGGAGCTGCAGTGTAGACAGAATAGAGCTGATGCTATGAGAGTGAAGTCATTCTGAAACATGTCACGGTGGTCGGCGTTTGGTATTTAGTGATCGTGCAACTTACGGAGTACATTTTTTTCAGGAGTTTCCGCGCCTGATGACGACTACTGCGAGGCTGTTGTGCCTGGTCTTTGTTGCCGTCCTTCTCGGAAGCAGCGATGGCCGCTTTCTGCTGTTGCAGAACAACAACAGGACCAGTGAGTTTTACTGCAGCCTTTGTCGCTTCCAGATATGGCTGATAATTCTTCGTTTGCACACTACGGTGGGAACTTCTTGATGCAAATCTTGTAAATACAGCCTTTTCTTTAATGTTGGACGTTTCCATAGGTCGGCAGGAAAGGTAGATCTCACTAACACTCACCTAAGAAATATATTTCGCGCTTATCGGCTGACTCTGATTCATACTCGCCAACATTTTCCTACACCTGACTCACTAAGGCTCGAGCTAGCCAAAATGGTACTCACCCGGACTCACTCAAACTCACGGCTCGATCTAAATCTGAGCCAGTTTGCCGACCTATACACACAGAGTCGCAGTCGCATTATACGTGGAGTGTAGCTTGCGCCGAAGTTTGAAGATATATAAGAGCGTCATGTCACTAAACGCAACAAATACTGTTTACCGTCGCTTTGAGCAAACTGGACAATATCTAGAACTTCGCCTAATTTTATAATTATTTATTTTTAATTGAGTATGTTTTCACATATTATAATTAAAGCATATTATAGAAAACCACTAAAAACCGCTTTAAAGCTGTCGCTTTGGGCTGGACAAATGTATTTATCCAGCCTGAGAGGAATGCTGCAGTCAACCTTAATTAAGAGATTGGCGCACTTTACTCATTTTATTTATTGCTCACCATAATATAATAGTCTCATCAGATGATGTTTTGGATGGCTGAAGCCAAAAGATCATTTGTTGTCAGAAATTCAGCAATCTGTCTGCATTTTTTTTTATGCCATGTCGTAAATTCATTCATATACGAGCTTATTGAGTTCCTTTATTCAGAGACTGGATGTCGTGATTCTTACTTTAAAGATCGCAGAGTTTCATACGTCGCGTGTGGCGTAACGTATGACCAAGGATTTATTTTGTTGGGCGCCAGATTTTATTACAATAGCTCGTTTATTGTTCTTGATATGCAGTTTAACGTGCACTTACATTGCCGCCGTTCCTTTGTGAATACTTCTTCGAATGGCAGGCGGCTGTGTGGACCCCACCGGAGAAATCGTTAACGAAGGGTTCAGCATCTCTCGAACACGTCCATGCCAGCTCGAGACGTGCCGCAATGGTTCGTGGGATATAGCCAGGTGGGCTCGTTTTTGCGTCTATTGCCGATATCCGGTTCACGTAATTCACCACGCTGATTAAGAACCAGTGTGCTCTGCCGCTTTAATTGCGCAATACATCTACCGCTTATTCGAGACAGGATGATTCCTAGCATGCCCTGCGTCAAGCAGCACACGCTCTTCAAACTACTTTCTTTAATGTCTTACCCAGGTCTAACTTACCAAATACCGTGATGTAACAACTGATCCTTTTAGATGCGAGGCTGTTTTTTGTTTGGCTTACTTGTGTAACACCGTACGGACGTGCGTTTGCACGAACTCACCGCAACGCGTTCCCCTCGCCGCAGGTTGTGGAGCGGTGCCAAGTAGGTCATGTCGCAGCTGCGTGTTGACGTCACGATCCCCTCGCATGCTTCCCTCGCAGGTGCGCGCTGACCTCACTCTCTTCCTCACCCGCAGCGCACTCGCCGCAGCGTCCGCAGCTGCCAGCCCCTATACGCCCACTCACAACACACTTCTCTCTCGCTTCGCCCTCTCCACTGCCTGCAACGCTTGACTGTTCGTCGAGTGGAAACACTTTTCTCGGCTCGTTTATCTGCGACGAAACTTGCACCAAACCCGAGCTGCCTCCCGTGTCTTCGCGTTTCAAACAAACGTTTACTCGAGTAAACGCCACACCGAGTTTCGCTTCAAACCGCTCTTCGAGCATCCGCGTCGATGACCGTTTCAGCTGGGTCAACAACGCCGTGCGCACTGCTGCTGCACCGCATTCCATCAGGGTTCCCTTCGGGGAGATGGTTCATAATTTGTCGAAATTATTCACCACCTAGGAGGTAATGCAGTTGGCCTTGATGGTGCCGGGTATGGTAGTCCAGTAGTGACACGACGGTTCTATCGCAATCGCGGCGAACACATTTCGATGGAGATGAAATGCTAGTGGACCGTGTACTGTGCGATGCCAGTGCACGGGTGGCACAAATTTCCTGAGTTCACAACTGTGGCGTCCCTTATAATGGTATCGTCGTTTTGGGATATCAAAGCCTATAGATATTATTACGAGATAATGTAGGCAGTGGCAAACGTCAGAAGAAAAGCGCTTCAGATATCGTCGCTATCTTTTCGCGGCGCAAATTGATGGACCTGCATGTAAGGTCTTGATCGTCTTTCGGAGCTCCCCTCGGAGAGGCTATCACATTGACGTTAAACGCGCCAGGGTGAGAAAATTTCCAGCAGATCCAAAGAACAATCTGAGTTTCGCCCGTTATCGAAGCCACGTGTTTTTCTAGGCTGTCAGGCATTCCACCATAGAGGCGTGCCAGTGTTTGCAACCGATTTTGAAAAAGAACCTATGCAGCCGTCATGTAGAATATCCGAGTTGCGGAGTGCAGATCTGTGTCTATTGCTAAACATTTTGAGATTATAAAAAATTATTTCATATAGCAAGGCACCGCTCGTTTTATGGCCGATCCCCCATGGTGGGTTGCGCCATGTTGAAAGGGTCAACCAGCCAATTAACCCTGTGACACCGCTCATTCTTTACGGGTTCTAAAATTTTTTTCGACATGTTGTTCGTGAAGTTTCACGCATTAATAGTGAAAAATTTTCATTATATCTCGGAACAGTGTCGCAGTGCCCCTTTCAAAGTCGCCAGGTACGGCTTATTTCGGTGCCCTCGTGAATTCATTTGGCAGCTAGAAACAGCCCGTCAGCATACATTATGTGCCTACTTAAACTGCTGTGAATGCATGCATGCATTGCATTGTTGTCTTAAACGTAACTTTGTGCGTTGATGAGCGGTGCTCGTTCCAACATTGGCCGAAAGTCGAAGTGAGAACGCATTCATTGCAGGTGCTTCGAAGACGTGGACCCGAAGTGCAAGGGGCAACTTGGAACCCGAGGACCAGGACCGTACCCGGACTGCTGCGCACTTGCTGTGTACTGCGCCGAACACTGAGTTTCAGCCGATGAGAGTGCCGCGAGAAAAAAAAAAAAAGACTGTATATAGGCTTTGTTGAAATCTCGTTCCTAGAAGCCAAGAAAATTATTCGACGATTTATTATTTTTTTACAGCAGAGCTGTTAATTTCGAGGTCTGGCGTGTGTCGTATAGATAGAGAAGGATCGCCATCATGAACTGGCTCACAGTCCATTACCACCCAAGCACTGCTTGCTATAATATAATTAACAAGAGAAGCTGTGACGTGCGCCTCCTAACAGGTGGCTACCGAGTGTGTCTCCTTGTTAAGTTTCAGTGGACCAGTGTGAGGAGTACTGATATCTGCCTAATTTCCGTGGTGTGTATACTCTGTACAGGAGTTCTACGGCAAAGCTGTTGTGGTTTTGATGTACCTACAGACATCGAGAGTAAGAGATAGACGCGGACTACAAAAAAAAAAATCAAAAGACCTAGCATAGCCATCAAGTAATATCAAGTGTAGTACAGGGTTGGGAACAAGGGCTGGAAAGGAGACGGCGAAAGGGTTAAAAGCTAGGCAAGTCGGAACGAGCTAAACGTGTCCATCGGCTCTGCTGCATCCTAGCCTTGCCCGAGTTCGTGCAAGCTGTGCTTACTATTTGTATTTTCGCATCCGCAGGTTTCAGTTTCCATTGGCGGTTAGCATTAAAAAATTGTTCAGAGGTTTTGGTTGCAAAAACTACGTTATGATATGAGGCGCCCCGTATCGGAGAAACCCGCGCTAATTTAGACCGCCTGGGGTTCTTTAATGTGCACCAAAATCTGCGCTCGCGAGTGTGTAAAGAACGTCTGCATTCCGTTCCTAGGTGCAGGTTTCTGTAGTACGAGTGATGAAATTCCTGTTCGTTCAGCTTTACTTGTAGATAGAAGTAGGTCTTAGTTCGCAATCCATTCCCCTTCATCAAACCCGTGAAATTTCCAGGGTCGCAGCATTCAAGTATATTGTGACATATGAGTATGACAAAAACATTTCAATTGTCGCCATAGTCATCTACAAGGATTTTATCCCCCCAGTCATACAGTGAGGGGTGTGGATAATGCGAGTCTGAAGGGCCCGCCTTTCACAAAAACTTGGAGGAATCCTTAGCCCTGGTACCCCTGCAGCTGCCGCAGCGGCTTGGGCTCTGGCCACCAATGCCTGTTGGGCTTGGAGGCCAGAGCAGCTGAGCAGGACAGCCACCCAGTCCTCTCGTGTCGGGTGGGGTTGGGGTGGGTAGGTGGGATCTGAAGGGCATGCCCACACCACGTCACAAGACTCCTCCGGCATGCTGAGACTGCCCCTTTACTTGTACTAGAGTGCTACCTGTACTCGGTCAGACCTGTTCTGTCATTACTTATTCAATCTGCAGAGGCGCATCCACCGAAAATAAAAATAAAATATGAATTTCGCGTTCGATTCGCCTTAGGGCGAATGCTTAGAAGTACCGCGTGAGTTTTTGTGCAGGAAGCGTTTCATTACCAACTCAACGAGGAAACTGCACACCCGTACCACTGTCACGTTTGTGTCAGACAAATTGCTTTAAAAATGGATTCGTTCGAAACAAAACTTGTGTTGGTTGCGCCTGATTTCGAGAGAGCGCCCGACACTCAGAAGCTAAGTTTCTTACGCACATTGGGCGAAACAGTTCTTGCAAAATGGAACTATTTTAAGCATAGAAGTGCGTGGTGCCGGCGACGGAAAACAAACGCGTAAAGAGAGAACGGTTGCTATATGCATCGAGTTTCCTAATAAACACTAGAGGGAACTCTGGCGCTAGTGTCTATGGGAGCTGCAACGCACGGCGCTTCGGCGAGCATGGGAATGATGGGTAGCACACACATTTGTCTAATTTTCGTACTTCTGGCCTGCTTCTGGCTTCGTGTGTGTTCATGTATCCCGGAGCTGTTTTTTCACGAAAAAATAAATTAGCAACTGTTCAGAGTTTTCGCTTGACAACCTTATTATTTTAGGCATATCATTATGAATCGAGTCACAAAGTTCAAAAGGGTTCGTTCTTTCCTTCAAAACGAAACCGTAACCAGCAATAAACGAAGCCGCAAGTACGATTCGTCTCCCGAAAGTACGAAGACTAGGCAAATGTGCGTACTACCCATTATTCCCATGAACACTGAACGATCGCAGTGCCAGAGTCCCCCCAAGTTAATTTTAGGAAACTCTTTGGCTATATGGACGCTTAGCTGAAATATTATGGGGTGCTGGAATAAAAAAAAAACTCCCAAGCATTTCCCCGAGGGTGAACATGGTTAAGTGCGAATACACGGGGTGATGCTATGAGGGGTATTTATTAATTCGCACGATTATATTTATTAATCACACTATGGTGCCTTTATGGTGTAATGGTTCCTGGGAATCGCAATTTGATCACACGGGGGAGTTTACGTTAACTCACTGGCGAATGCCAACGGATTTTAACTTTACTCCCCCTCACGACCCGCTCTCGACGGGAGACTGAGAGAGAAGGCGGGCGCGCGAGAGAGAGGGGTGCGCGCGCTGCTGCAGCGAACGAGGAGAGCGGAGGAGCGAACGAAGGGGGAGGGGGTATAAGGCGCGTTACTAGAGAGAAGACTGCGGACGCCACCGACGTCGGTAGATGGTTTGGGGTCGTTTGTAAAGTGTATTCACACTTAAAAGCAATTTAGGAAAAGTTACAAAGCGGACGTGTAGGATTGAACGCGCTAAGAAAATTCCGAGCTTGCGAAAATCCAATGTCGGACGCGCGCGTTTCGGCGGTCGCCTATGGCGCCATACTTTAAGCCGTTCCAGACGCCATCGAACGACAGGACAACCAGAAACGACAATGCATTATGGTGATGATGACGATGACGCTTTTATGTGGCGCTCACCTGGGAATGGATGGGTGAATAACCGGGTGGTAGAATGGTCAAGGCGAAAAGCTGTGAAGCTGAATAAACCTGAGAATTTAGGCTAAACATGAAACATCAAATAAACGAAAATTATTTACAAGCAAGTGATCAGATTGTTATCTGGGCTTTCTGAGGGCTATAATGACGAAATCAAACTAAGGAAATGAATAGATAAATGTAGGGTAGTATGGCAAGCTCTTTGGGTCATTCATATAGGTTGACGAAGACCGCAATGCAGACGTCCCGGTTGCTTTACCTTAATAAAGTGCCGACAAATGATAAAATTACTGGAACATTTATCAGTAAACCTAACTTATGAGATGAAGCTGTTATGTATATTTCTCTCTTATTAAAAAATGGCGACGGAATAAAAAGCATTGCCCTACTGCTCCGATTTCCTCGAAAAACGTGACATGCATTAATGAGATGGCTTGAGACCAGCCTTATGCAAGTTATGGCTCAATTGCGAAATCGCACGCCGTAATCTGGTGTAAGAAAGTTTTAACTTTTGGTATACACACCACTGTTTATTCCAGCAGTATCTTAGATGTGCGAAGCCTTTAAAACGTTCCACAGAAGGCCAAGGTGTTTCCTATAATGAGAATGATTGTTTCGAGTGACACAAACTCCAGACATAAACTCCTACGACAGAAACGCGTGCTTGAACGGAGTGTTCTAAACTCTCATATATTCACGGGCAGTTCATCGTTGGCGTCCTTCCATCGCTTTGGGGTCTCCTAGCAGGCTCCATTGCCGCCCATCGTTCTGCCATTTCTGTTTAGGCATTAAATGCACCAACTCATCAAATTATTAGCATACTTCAGAGAACCCCGCGTAAGGATATTGATATTAATATGTATTTTCACAAGTCACGCCTCAGCTCCAATTCTGTAATCAGCTGGAAACTGTTCACTACTGCCCTCTTCCTTGACTTTTTTCTAGAAAATCACATGCATTTCGTTTGGGGCCTACGCTCTTGCATGCATCCCCAGGCTCCATTGCGTAGGAATTCTTAGGAAATCTAGAAGGTTGGTATCTCAAGCTGTATTGCTATTGGTTATTTAATTATTAATTTCTCCTAATATTGTTGGTCTCATTCTAACTCGCCCATCTCTAGCGGTTCCCCCATAGTGGGTATGAGTCACTCGTATGATTGACAATATTAATGTGCACAACCTTTAATCTCTTGAAATTCAGATTTATCTATTGTTTAATCAGCAGCCTGGTAATGTTAACCTCTAGGACCTGATGAAATAATTCACTCACTTCTTGGCCATTCCCCTGTATTGGGTATGAGCCACCACTACTGAGTTGAAGAGCCTTCCGGCATCGAGTACGACGTACGTTTATAGGCATACCAAGTAAGCGCTGCCGCAAATGCTGCTTATATATTCTTTAACGTATTTTCGTGAAGCGCGATGACCTATTAAAAACGCTATCGTAATGACTGCATGAACTGGCATGTCACAAACGCTCGGAATAGTGCATGTGTCCACTGAGGTCGTACGCGGAGAGGCTGGGTTCGTTTATAAAGATGGCTTGCACTGACGCCATTGTAACGGTCACGTTGGAGCTCTAGTATGCTGGGACGCGAACTTTGTGATGTCATGTCAGTGCTATAGGTCCACTGAATAATCTTCTTTCGTTATTCATGCACAGTGGTTGAACAGCGTTCCAGAGGTGTCTTTATCACAACGAAGCAGGATTATCGCCACCTGATTGTACTACCTTGCCGTTATCTATGTCATCATGTTGGAGCTATGTTGTAAGTTTGTGACGTCACGTGTAAGCTATGGATAAAAAAGGAAATAGTTTATCGTATAGGAGATTGGGAATTTTGGACCATCCGCTTTGTTCATTGTTCATTCTATCTGATTTGTTTCTCGCGCAAGTTATCTCTTGTGTTGTCGGTTGAGATAAATGCACAGTAAAGTGGTTCACCCGAAAATTTTGCGTCGGTAATACATTGATAATTTCAGAATCAAAGTTGAAACATCGTCTGCCAGGGGTTTTAATGTAAAAGACCAACAAGAGGAAAACCTCTTCCGCCAGCCGTTGAATACACGTCGACGACTACATCAGCACTTTTTTTTACGTTTACAGTGGCGCAGTAAGTATATCTCACTTTTAATCTTCAGTTGATTTTGATAACCTCAGCCACTTTAAAAGTATCTATCTATCTATCTATCTATCTATCTATCTATCTATCTATCTATCTATCTATCTATCTATCTATCTATCTATCTATCTATCTATCTATCTATCTATCTATCTATCTATCTATCTATCTATCTATCTATCTATCTATCTATCTATCTATCTATCTATCTATCTATCTATCTATCTATCTGTGTCTGTCTGTGTGTGTGTGTGTGTGTGTGTGTGTGTGTGTGTGTGTGTGTGTGTGTGTGTGTGTGTGTGTGTGTGTGTGTGTGTTTCTTTATTTCGACTGTGATGTCCTTAACATTCGTTTGTTCCCTACTAGTGGCATGACGTAAATAAACGACCAGCATGAGTGACTAGTCGTTGCATGAATATCAATAGAAGTATGGTGTGTGTGTGTGTGTGTGTGTGTGTGTGTGTGTGTGTGTGTGTGTGTGTGTGTGTGTGTGTGTGTGTGTGTGTGTGTGTGTGTGTGTCGCTACGGGCCCTGCCTATGATTTATTTTTCTTTATTTCGACTGTGATGTCCTTAACACCCGTTTGTTCCCTACTAGTGGCATGACGTAAATAAACGACCAGCATGAGTGACTAGTCGTCGCACGAATATCAATAGAAGTATGTCATGTACAGTATGACGTGATACACGACAATGTCTTGGTGCGTTCGCGGTCTCCTCACAAATTTCTACATATGCCAAAGTTGGTATGGCGTGACATGAGTGTATGGCGAACGTGCATTATAGGTCATAACATGAAATGAATGACCTGATGTCAGGTACAGTCGGCGAAATATTTAGCTATCGTGCATGATCGGCGGTTTTTTCCGTGCATGTTTGTCATACGACTGAATTAAGCTTAAAAAAAGTGAAGGCAAGTGTATTCCCCACAATGCACTTGTCCACGAAGGAATATTTTGTAGCTTTGTTCCATAATATGGCGCTGAAAGACAAAAAGTGGCTGCTGCGTGCGATAAAGTTCTGACCGACTGTACTTCATGATTCCAATGACCCAGTCTTGGTACACTCCATGTCGTTGCATCACCTTAATATACATGAACAATCATATGACATGACATGAATGTACGACGAACGTAATAGAGAGATCATGCGTTATACTTATACCTTTAGTTAGCATTGTATATATTTAATTTATGGCAGCCGTGTTATGGTGAAGTACACTTAGCCGGATTGAAAGTTGGGCAAGTTGGTTCGGTTCATTTCTTTAAAACGCGTGCAATGATGGTCACAAGAAAAAGGCGATAAACACACAGGGTGACGTGCTACTAATACCCGACAAATCACCACAGGTAGTGGAGTAGCCAGTTGGTGGCACACCGGGCTCGTGCCTCCCACCACCCCCGAAATAACAAAGATCCCCCCCCCCCCCAAAAAAAAAAGTTCTGCCTATGCCCATGACCACAGGTACCGAACGGAAACTCAGACGGAAATTATTGAAGCCTTTCAAATTAGCCAAGGAAGTTTGAGGTGCATAAGCCATTACTCCATAAGTTTACAGGAAAACGAGATGGGGTTTCTACAACGACAGGTGCGAGCAGATGGACCCGCCGTGGTGGTCTAGTGGCTAAGGTACTCGGCTGCTGACCCGCAGGTCGCGGGTTCGAATCCCGGCTGCGGCGGCTGCATTTCCGATGGACGCGGAAATGTTGTAGGCCCGTGTACTCAGATTTGGGTGCACGTTAAAGAACCCCAGGTGGTCAAAATTTCCGGAGCCCTCCACTACGGCGTCTCTCATAATCAAATGGTGGTTTTGGGACGTTAAACCCCACAAATCAATCAATCAATCAATCAGGTGCAAGCAGATGGTGTGTGGTGCTTTAGGTAAGTGCCTGTTCTCGGTTTCAAGGCGGGCTATTACTGGGATTGCGTTCTATATGTGCATTCTGAATTTTTTTAAAAATACCAGTTGTTAGTAGCACGCCGTCTTGTGTTTATCACATGCACTTTTCTTGTGACAGTATTTCCGTGCATTTTCAAGCAGTGAGTTAACTACATATCATGACGTCAACGCCCTCATTTGTCTCAAAGCCAAGTGATGCAGTGTTTATGCAGCTCCTCGATGACGCTTCGCATTACCACAACCACTGCATAAAACTTTTTTTTTTGTAATGTAGTAGCAGTGGCATTACATTGATCACCGCAGTGCGTTGGATCTGCCTGATTTGTCGCGGATGGTTGATGTCGAAGTGTTTGTAGAAAATTATCAAAAGCAAACAGTCTTAATACACGATAACACTGTTTAAGTCCTTTGCGACAGTGCTTCATGCTGATTATAAATAAGATAAGGTGTGCAAACACAAACGCGAGAGGATGGAACGACACAAATGCCTTTGGCGTCATTTTTGTTGTGTATATATGGAAGGCTAAGCGATATCAAGAAAAGCGCGTTTGCGTTCTGTTGTTCTTTTGCGTCCGCACTTGTTAGCCTTATCTTATTTTATGATGAGTGTCATACTCACCGATTGTATCAGCTTTCGGTCGCTTAATGATGCGGCTGGCCGCTGGAATAGGCAACAATTTATGCCGGCTTGTAAGTCAGTGCCAACATGGGAGATGAAGAAAAAGGAGCTAAATGAAATGCGAGTTGTGAAGCGGCGTATCGGCGAAGCTAGGCTGAGTTTACATTGTGGCTCATTCTGTGTGCAGAGACACGGGCCGCAGGTGCGTTCGTTGCTTCACGTTCGTCGGCACTGTGGCCGTCGTCGCTTTGGCCACCTTCGCCGTCCTTGTCGTTCTCGGGGTAGTGAACATCAGTAAGTGTTCCCCTTATATAAATCACTCGTACAGTTGAAACGAACAGCCCAGACTTTTGAACAGTCTGTTTTTTTCTTAATCATGTGCTGTATCTAGTGAGTGCAAAATCTGCAACCAACCGAGTTATAAGGATCAAAATGAGTGGCTACCGTGACCGGTTCGTTCAAAGGTTCAAAACACCTGTGCGCTAGAGTATAAAGTTGGGCATGTTGGTAAGACATAGTTGATCGACGTAGCGCGTTTAGAAACATAGGACAAGGGAAGGGACAGAAGGGGGTGCTTACTTCCAACAAAATCTTTATTTCGAGGAGCGTACATATATATGCTCACAAAATTCGAAGACAACAGATAAACAGATGAAAACCCTCTATTGTCATGCACTAAAACTTATGATCACCTGTGCGCATGTGCGTAAATATTCCTTGTTGTGTTGTTACTACAATTCCGTAAAGTAAACTTTGAGCATTGCGTATAAACTCCCGGCGGGCTCCAAGCCGAAACAGGGCTGAATCTCAGTCATGGCAGCGACGCAATGCAACCGACAGAGAGCGTGGACGCAATTTAATGCATGTCTACCAAACTCGTTATGTCTTGCGCGAAGTCGGGTCCCTGACTATGTAACTTAATGCACTACCTAGTCCGAAGTAGGCTTTCGCCTTTAACTGTTATAAAGAGTGTGATACGTGACACACCAACGAACGTGTTTATTTGCGTCTAAACATTGCAGGTCATATTTCTACGCATTCGTGATACTCAAAAACAGGGGCCGGCGACCTCCGGCCCGTTGGGGACCATCATGGGGTCCTAGGCACGATGCCATGACTGCCTTCCCTCCCTTTGTCACTTCATATCTCGACTGTAAAGAAGTTCTTCCGAGGTCCCACAATTGTGATTTCTCTTTCACTTTAAATCAGCATGACTGCTACCCCAGTTTTTAACATTATTGACAATTCACCGAATTTCCTTTCTTTGTCAGCAAGGCACCCCACCCTTTTTCCCGATCTACCGTACGGCCCTCGGCATGTCTCCTTCATGCAACTCGACCACCAATATGCTGCCGACTGCGGCTAAATTTTAGGCACTGCGGCGTGCTCCCGACAGGGTTGCAGAAATTAGGTGCCTTTTCTCATCTTCTAACCACTACCCATCCTCTGCCTCAGAATGTTGCCGACCCTTGCACTAAGCGATACGCGTATTGAGCGTTCTAAGTAAAAGTAGACGCCTGTTAGACCGTTTGAGTTCTTATGGTCGCAGAGTTGCACTACGTGACGGCCGAGGCCAGGAAGGCCGATGAGAACATGACCAGCTGTTCTTCGAGCCAGAGCGCCAAGCCACCTCAACCCACCGACGGCACTGCATACGTCGAGGCGAGCACGCTGACGGAGACGAAAAAGCGCGGCCCAGGGGACGAGCCTATCCCGGATCCTCGCTTTTGAGGACAATCTGTGCTCGACGTGGCTGCAATGTATACGAACGGTCAATATGCAGTTTTGCGTGCATGTTAGCGAGAAGAAAGAAATGAAGAGACGACGAGACGAGATTTCGTAGTTGCCCTGAGCAGCACGCAAGTGTTCGTAAACTTTACGCGATGTTTACCACGTGGCGATATATTCTTTGTTTTTAACGTAGTGCGATGTGTTTTGCGAGCCAGTAAAGAATAGAAATACCGGCTGCATACCGCATCGTATCTGCGTGGTCCGTGATGGTGTACGGCAACAGCGTACGTAGCTTCTTCTAACACGAAAGGGCTTTATGCCGGGGTACACCACGGCGGCCTGACGTATTTTCGTCACGGATATGACGTTGCAAAATATTTAATAACAAATTACTAAGAAAAAAAATTCGGTAGATCCCAAGTACCTGGGAATCGACGTTATAAGAAGGATGCGGAGGGAACGTGACGGTGTCGTAATTTTTTTTATTGAGCTACATGTCATCAAATGATTCTAAATATATGTATAAATGTTGCACGCACAGACATATGCTGAAGAGTTGCAGATGTTTATATAACCAGCTGTTTGCACTTGCGCAACGATGCCAACTGGAACATGCGTATTAGCAACGCCAGAAGCTGATATGAAGCGCTGATGCTGGCCCTGGACATTGTAACGTAAGTCACCTTCAGCGCATAGAAACTAACCACAATTAACGTCAACCCGACGTGACGGCTGTATCAAAGGAGTAGATATGCAATATTTTTAAAACTGGGTAGGCAGCACATCACCCAATATTGACGTTTCACGAAGATTAGGGTCTACTTGAAAAGTACTTCCGAGACCTGGCGTAGCTCTGTGGTAAAATGCTTCGTTGCCACGCAGAATGCTTGGGTTCGATTCCAGCTGAGACCCTGACATTTATTATTTGCATTCGTCGGGTTGACGCTACCGATGTCAGGTATTTCTTAACGCTCGCGCGTTAAAAGTTTCCATGTGTGTTCTCGTCGTTCCTGGGTACTAAAAAAAGGCGCCAAGAAAGATACCAAGTATCAATCACCTGTGGCACATACCCGCCCGTGGGTATGTGCCACTGTCTGGCGGGAACTGTTTGGCGACATGCGCGACGGGATTGTGACATTATTCATGTCTTCACCAGTGCGTCATATTCGTCAAACCACCTTACCCTCTGTTGGGACTCCGGGTCCTGCCGGTCTCGTTTTCGGTAGCTGGCCCCGTCGCAGGATCCATCGTCCAACAATTCAGCGAGAAAAAGGCGCCCGAACGAACGACAGAGATTTATTTACATGTGGAGAAGTGATCAACTGATCCAAAGAGAGAAGAGTGAGAGATGCAAAACGTCTTCGGCATTTTATAGCGCCGCGTTGCCGACACTGGGCGCACTGTCCGCATCGTCAGCCAATACGGTGGCTCCGGCACCTCGGCCACGAGAGAGGGGGAAACACACCTCACAACACATGGAGTGGCACAACCTAACACAATGTCCATATATGGTCACGGCGCCCTAAAATGTTGCCAAACATGGTCACGAACGCACAGCAGATTCCGGAATTCTCCCGGCGAGAGGAGGAGCCTGAATGGGGAGGTGGGGGTGGACGACACAGTCGGTCAAGAACCGGTTCTCCCCCAAACTCTTCTTGCTTGGTTCCCTAGGGCCGGTCGTAACAGTCTCTCGCGCGGGGGGGGGGGGGGGGGGGTAAAGATCTCGATGGGCTGAGGTTTGCAGCCACTGTCCGGAGAGATCAGCGCCGGCAGTCGGTTTGGTGACGACCGTCTTTGATGAAGTAGAGGGCACCACCTGCTTCATTGTGGGCTCAACAGACATCACATACGCACATGAAAACACAACTACTCAGCCGGTGAGCGCCGGATAATTCCGCCAAACTCCACCAGGCAATTTTCCCCTTTAACTGATATTAAAGGAAATACACAATTTATTCAAAATGTTACTCATACGTTAAGGTGACACAAAACAACAACACTGGAAGCACACCGAACCCGAAACCCTGGATAGCCGTGTCTTCAACGTTTTCAAACAAGTGCACCTAAAAGAGTAAAAAAAACAATCACTAGCTCTTGTCTAGGTCAGGAAAAAAAAAATGCCAGAGTTCTCGAGACATCCTCTCGCGTCAGGGGCATCGACTTAAGCCATCAGCGTTGCCATGGAGTACACCCTTTTTGTAGCGTATTTCAAACGTATATTGTTGCAAAACGAGGCTCCAACGCAGCAGGCGGCCGTTCTTAGAGGACATTGTCTGTAGCCAGGTGAGAGGACAGTGGTCCACTTCCACAATGAACTTGCTTCCGGCAATATAACAAGCCAGTTTCTGGACTGCCCAAACCAAGCACGCACATTCCTTTTCGCTAGCGCTGTAAACCTGCTCGCGAAGAGTGAGTTTCCGGCTAACATAGAGGACGGGATGCTCTTCATCCCCCTCATCCCTTTGACTAAGAAATGCCCCCATGCCTCTATCACTAGTGTCGCAATGGACTATGAAAGGCCTCGAGTAGTCCGATGAACTAAGCAAAGGTTGGCTCGACAAGGCCGCTTTCAAAACGCGGAAAGCCTTTTCTTTCTCCTCATCCCAGTCGACCATTTGGGGCTCGGTCTTGCGCAACGCGTCAGTAAGAGTGCTGGCAATGTCGGAATATCTAGGGATGTACTTACGATAGTAACCAGCTATTCCAAGAAAAGCCCGAATATCGGTTTTCGTTCGGGGCTGGGGAAAGTCTCGGATAGCTGCCACTTTCATTTCAGAGGAACGGCGATGCCCTCGACCGATAACATGCCCGAGATAGAGTACCTCTGCTTGTGCTAGCTGACACTTGGGCGCCTTTACCGTTAAACCTGCTTCGCGTAGGCGTGTCAGTACTGCTCTCAAATGCGCCAAGTGTTCTGGCCAGGACGAGGAAAACACGGCGACGTCGTCCAAGTAAGGCAATGCGAAGTCCTCTTGACCCCGCAAAACCTTATCCATTAAGTTTGAAAAACAGTAAGGCGCGTTCTTTAGGCCGAAACTCAACACTTTAGGGCGAAATGTCCCCAATGGTGAAATAAATGCAGCATACCGGCTCGCCCTCTCGGTGAGCGGCACCTGCCAGTAACCTCTCACTAGGCCTAGCGTTGAGATAAATTGCGCGCTGCTTACCCTCTCGACGCGTTCCTCAATGTGGGGAATTGGGTATGTCTGATCCTTGGTGATGAGGTTTAGCTTACGATAGTCTACGCAAGGACGCGGATCTTTGCCGGGTACCTCCACAAGAATTAACGGGGAAGTGTAATCACTTTCACACGGCTCAATCACGCCCAATTCCAGCATCCTGTTAACCTCTGCTTTTATTAGCTCAAGCCGGCGAGGTGACACCCGATACGTCTTAGATCTTACCGGTTCCGACGAGGTAAGCTCTATGTCATGAGTGAGGACGGATGTCCGGCCTGGCTCGCTTACAAATCTGTCCTGAAACTCGGTCAAAAGACCACGCAATTCCTGCTTCTGCTTCATTGTCAGCTGTGACTTTGATACTAAATCCTCAACTCTTTTCTCGATCGGGACTTCGTCCGATTCGGGAGCTAATTCAGGAATTTCTGCCGGAACCTCTTCCGGAACATTTAAAGTCATGTTCACGATGGCTTCACTCTCTTTATAGGGTTTGAGTAAGTTGCTATGATACACCTGGTGTACCTTACGACTTCCTGGTAATTTTACCACATAGTTGGTGTCAGACAATTTTCGAGTAATCTCGGCCGGGCCGACCCATTGCACTTCAAGCTTATTCTTTTGGGAGGGCCTCAACAACATGACCCTGTCTCCTACAGCAAAGTGTCGCGCTTCAGCTGTCCGATCGTAGTAAAGCTTAGCCTTCTGCTGTGCTTTGGTCATCGCCCTCTCGGTCAGTTCTTGGGCTTTTGTTAGACGATCCAATAAGGTGAGGACATATTCCACTACTACAGGATCATCACCCTGACCTTCCCACGACTCTCTCAGCATACGAAGAGGAGACCGCAGTCTGCGGCCGTAAACAAGTTCCGCTGGCGTAAACCCTGATGTCTCATGTGGTGCAGTTCTTAGTGCAAACATCGTTGCAGGTAAGTACATTTCCCAGTCAGTTTTTCGTTCAAAACACAAGGCTCTTAACACTCGCTTCATCACGGAATGAAGCTTCTCTATCGAGTTCGACTGCAAATGGTAGACTGAACTATGCAATAATTTCACGCCACACCGCTCTAGAAAGGTTGTCGTTAAGGCACTCGTGAAAATGGTGCCCTGGTCTGATTGTATCTCGGCAGGAAAGCCTACCCGGGCGAACACGGACAGAAGTGCGTTCACTACTTCCACGGAACTTAGCTCTTTTAGCGGGACCGCCTCTGGAAATTTAGTAGCTGGGCAGATTAAGGTCAGGATGTGACGGTAGCCTGAAGTTGTCTTGGGCAAAGGACCTACTGTGTCAATTACCAACCGACGAAAGGGCTCCGTGATTACGGGTACCAGCTTCATTGGAAATTTCGCCTTATCTCCCGGCTTACCCACTCGCTGACACACATCGCAAGATTTTACAAACCTCTCTACATCTTTAAAGCATCCAGGCCAGTAGTATTCCTGTAAAGACGATTTTTTGTCTTCTTTACGCCTAAGTGGCCTGACCATGATTCTCCATGCACCAAACTAAGCAAATCCTGACGATACGCCTGAGGTACGACTACCTGGTCAAACTCTACTCCTCGCCTATCTAGATATTTTCGATAGAGTATGCCACTCCTCTCTTGGAATCTCACATTTCGTTTGGCGATTCCCTCTTTCGAACTGTTCTGGAATCGCTTAAGCGTCGGGTCCCCCTTTTGTTCGGTTATTAATGAAGCGGGGCTCACCTGCAGCAGCCGACTGAAATTATCCGAAGTTGGCATGACACACAACTCTTTTGTATTTCCTAGTACCTGGAATGTGTCACCCTCTGTGCTATCCTCTGTACTACCAGGAATCGGCTTGGGAGCCACGGCATTTTCTATTTGCTCGGTCAACGAGGCGTAATTGACCCCTTCCAATTCGGGAGGAGGTTCATCGTCGCCTTTGGGAATGGTTGCCTCCGCGACTACGGCTTCTGCAGCCTGTTCTCGCACAAGTCGATTTGTCACCGTGGTGTCCAACTCGCAACCAGGCCCGTTATCGATTTGAGGCTTGTTTGCCTCAGTGAATGTTGCTCTCGCAGCCAGCGCACGTG